TTAAGAAAAGGACAGAAATGGAAAAAAATTTAAAAAAAGACAGTATCATTTTGAGGGTGAATTGTTGCAGCCAGGTGAGTTCCCCTATTCAGTTCAGCCCACAGACTCACAAACTGTGTAACAGAGGTAGAGGCCATGCCCAGATACAGGAGGGGAGCACAGCAGCTGCGTCAGCAGCGCTGCTGAAATGTGAGCCCTGCCAATCTGCTGCAAACACACATCAGCCTCTCCATTCAGGAGCTGTATTCCTGTTCCCTGAATAGATAGCCTTGTAATAAGCATACGCTCCTGATATGAAAAGCTTACAGGAACACTATGTACACTGACTGCACCATTTTCAGCCTTTGCTCAGAGATCATCTTCTGGTCAGACTCTGTGACATTTACTATCTTGAGAAAAAAAACAACTGTACCTTATTCTCAGATGTGCATTTGCTCTAAACTCAACCTTGAAATAAAAATCGTGCAATTCTTTATCTTATGGCCAGACTTAAAAAGAAAAAAAAAGCAATTTCAAAACTACTTTAGATACAAACAGACAACAGCTACCTGACTCACAGCATAACATTTCTTCTGTACATGAAAAAACATGATGTTGTGTGTGCAGCTGCCTTACTGCACAAAACCCCACAAAGGGCGTCCTTGAGGTATTTGTATTCAAATCTACACTTGTTCAAGCTGACAGTTGAAACCACAGTAACATACTGAATTGCAAGTTTCAGGATGTTAAGAGGCAAAAAAGGTTTTTAACTGTGAGAAGAGATTCTGGGATACACTAAATATGTTGCAGTTATCCACAAATAGTGATTGAAAAATGACACAAGTATCAGAGCTGCTCTGCGCTGAGTTCAAGTCTGATCAGATCAGCACCCAAAACACCACTGTGATAAACCCAGTCAACCTGAGATTATCATATAATGGAGTTTTTAAAGAAGAGCATCAGATACTGGTATAGTTACAGGCCCTAACCTAAGCCCATCACTGAAGCTGGCAAGGTTCTTCCTATGTAAAGATTTCACAGACTATAAAGATGCTTTACCACTGAGGATGGAGAGAAAGAACAGGAAGACACGCTCGCTTGAGAGAGGCAGAATATCCTGTCTTAAAAAACAATTACTTCATAAGTCAATAGCTTTAAGATGTCCAACCCCTCCCCCTTTTTTTCTTTTTGCAAAATACGTGTGTGCATTTTTTTTGTTATTTTTTTAAACTTAACACCTTACAAGGCAAAGAACAAACATAACTTAAAATAAGCTAACCTTTTTAGGTAGCATATCTCCGTCCTATATACTGTGATTTTTCAGTGCCTCTACTGCATATTCAGAACACATTCACCAAAACATTTTCATTGATACAAATACAACTTGATTGCAAAACCAAACATGATAGTAATGTAACAAAGACAACTTACCACAGTGTGTGCAGTTACATCACTTCAAAGTACATCCTCTTTTAGGGTCAGACAAAATAAGGTCTTTCTGACACATCTGAAATATTTTCCATGTGCACACATTTTGTTTAGCACAGATAAAACTAATACATTTGGTAATTGCCTGCAGTTGTATAATTTAGGCACCCAAACAAATATATTTCAAGCATCCCCATACTGTCAAGTCACGTATCTTGAAAGACTGCTACAAGAGCAAAAAAAACCAATACATATGCATTACTGTTTTCCTTTTTCTATGAATCTTAAATCCTGAGTCCTATGCTCTATTAAACATTTCAAAATGCTGTATAATATTCAACATTTTTTGAGATGCAGCTAGCCAAGGTCCTGAGTAGCCTGATCCAAACCTGGAGCCAGCCCTATGATGAGCAGCAGATTGGATGAGATGTTTCTCAGAGGTTCCTTCCAACCCACATTCATGCACGATTTTATAAACAGAAAGTGGGAACATTTTTATACACAGATGAATGCACAAACATTCCAGCCCTTTTTCTAAATACCCTTAGCCAACCTATAGATAGATTTACAGTGAGTATGCATGTGAAGCAAGATTACAGACATCACTGAATGGCAGTCCTACCTTGGTATGTTAAACACACATCAGTTTTCATTTATGCACGTGAAAACTACAGAAGGAAGTACTGTTTTATGCTCTAAATCAGAAGGCAAAGATGTGACACCTCTAACACCTATGAGCTCTATCTGATTTTAGAAGCATCCTGTTTAGCTGTTGAATCCTCAACTTAATGAGAACAGAAGCCTGACTACCCAGAAATTGACTCCTGTAGTGGTGAGGAATCGCTCCGGAATTATAGAGGGATGAAATAGGAATTGCTTCTGCTGTCAGAAAAGGGAGGAAGCAGGCTTGTCCTGAGCCAGGTAACCACTTGTACCACAAGAAAAAAAAGTTTACATCCACCATTCCTCTTAAACTCACGTTTCATTCACACATCTCAAACTGAAACTCTACTATTCATTCCTACATTTGCCATTCCTCCTTTGATGTGACTTCCTTTCTGCCATCCACTGACCAGTATTTTCAGCAGTGACTCATGAGAACGTGCTTAACATTACACACTGCTGAAACTCTTCTGGGTTGATTTAGAAACCCAGAAAATATGTCACTAGTAACAGACGTGGGACTTGAAACTCTCTTGGAAAAAAAAATGAAGTATCATCATGTTTATGATGGTATTCCATCTTATAAAAATCCTTCTTACAGACAAGCAATCATGCCTTACAAAAGTTACACTTGGAATTTACTCCTGTTTTACTATAGGATTAAAAGAAAGAAACAACTTGCACCTACTAAACCTGATGAACTCAGAATAGTTGCAGATTTCCTGCATTCCTTTGACATTCTTAAATAACGTGGTTCTGCTCCCTTGTGAACATTTGGCAAAATAGTAAGATACAAGGTTAGTATGAAAATGAGTGTATTGTAAGATCTTTGGCTAATAGTCTGAAATTTAAATTCCAACACAAAACCTGTTCTTGTTTGGATAGAAGCTTCCTAGTTATGTAGTTAATCACATTTCAGAAAGGTTTAATAGAGCCACAATCCTAAGAAAAGCTAACAGGACAGTCAGCCCACATTATAAATACAACAACATCATCAAATCTGTGTGTTTTACAGCTTTTGTTTACCTTTCACTACAAATTCATATGGAAAATTTCCTTCTAGTACTTGTGTTAGAAATTGATACATGGCATTTCTAAGAGCTTGATTATTTTGCTTAATTATTCCATGTTTTAATTCCTCCATGTTCTCAACCCACCATTGGAGCAGCAGCATGACCAGTATTTAGTTCTTACATTTGAACACAATCTAGTTCAGCAATTCCCATAGACCCACAGCTGCAGAAAAACTGACTATGCTGTTAATATGTTGGACAAAAACAGAGGCATTGCTTCTCTAATTCTCAGGAGCAGATATCTGTGTCAGATTCACTACTATGCAACCATTCTGCAAAATTTACTAGACAATACAAATGATAGTTAAAGTCTGTAAGCTTCTGTTAATTGTGTCAATGTGCATCATCTAGTACAGTAGTAGCTGTATCACACTGCATTCAAATACAATCAGAATAAACATCCTACCAGTATTTTAAATAGTGAGTGCACCTAAAAATATAATGCATTTGCAGCATTAGTTCACTTCCACAAGAGTGGCATTACAGTATTTTGACTGTTCTTTTTTTTAAAGCACAAGAACCACGCTGAACAGACTGACAGGATGGTGATGGACAGAGCTCCTCGCTGCAGAGAGCTATTGCAGCAGCAGGCTCTTCTGCTGATGGTGTTGGCTTTAGAGGTAAACAAGTGATTATACCAAAGGCCAAATCCTTTTCCCTTTTCACAGTGGTGACAGTGACAAGATACAATCTGAGAGTGATGAAGTCATTTAACTGACAACTCGTACCCTACTATTTTCCATGGGCCAAACTGAGTCACTTACACAAGTGACTGCTTAGGAGTCAAAACACTGAAAGGTACAGAGCAAAGAGAACATGGACAAACGCATGGGAAATGGCACTTCCCATTAGAGAAAGCTCTAACAAATAATCCTTTCCAGTTTACTTACAAGTTCTCTATACAACATTTAGCAAAAGATACACTAATAAGCTAAGTCAGAACTTTTATATTCAACATATAAAAAGCATATTTAAGATCAGCAGCTTCTTATCACAGGTGAAAAAGCTGAATGCAATTAGGGGAATTTCTCCATAGAAAGAGGCTGTTCTGAAGGAAGTCGATGGGAAAACCCAACTGGTTTGAATAATGATCACAACCCAAATAATTACGAAAGTTTGTGGTTTCAATGAAAAAAGAAAACTGAAGACTGGGAGTTTCTGCCCTTTTGACAGACATGTACTGAATACCACCACACTAATCTCACAGTTTTTCAGTTAAGAACTTTCCAGATTACTCATATCTAACTGCAAAACTAATTCAGAACTCTAACACTATTCTGCTGAACTTGATACAAAAAGTACTCTATATTTAATTATCTTCTCTAAAAAAAGAACAAATTAAAACGCACAGTATGAGAGGCATAATAAAATGTGCTATATATCAGCCTTTATAATATCAAGAGCCAAACAACCAAATTATTCAATGAAATAAATGACATCTGATCTCAATTACTCAATTTTTAGAAAGAAATAACACAACACACTACTTAGTCCATTTTTTTAACCATCAGTAAGTGCTTCAGTAAGCTCTAAATATACCTTCCATTATGTGCAATATTCCAAACTTGCTCCCTAGCAAAATCATTCAAAGAAAAGCATTCAGGCAGGAAATGTACTTCATACTGCAACTACTACTAGAAAGCTGTTTCTGTTTTAACCCTTGGAGTTTTAATAAATTCTGAGGAGCCTTTTTGTTAATACAAAGTACAAGAAGTAACTGATGTTCTGAATAAGTCTGTGACGTACCTACAGCCAGTAATTGCACAGCTCTGTTGCCAAGAGATTTATGCACAGAACCTCACATTTAAGTAAATCCACTCTGCACGCTTTATTAACGTTAAGGTAACACAACAGAACTTTAGGTAATTAAAGTTTAATTAGTTTATTACAAATTACATGGGATTTCGTACTAGAACATATAGTCATTCTCTGTAACTCACAAAATCCTCACAGCAAAACCAAAAAGGACCAAGAACTGCCTCAAAGTCATTATTCAAGTGCTTGATTTTCTTCTTGCTGGTTACCCTGAAAAGTAACACAATAAGAATGATTACAGTGTGACATTCAAATACTGAAATGTCTGCATTATTTCAACAAATATTACCAGCACATTATCCTAATAATCTCTAACTCTAAAGCAATGGAAAATCAGTCTGTTTGTGCTTTTGTACATGGAGTAGATACAGCAAGAACAACATCTTACACTTTTGATGTATGCAATTTCACTACAGCAAAATACAGATCAACATTAATAGTTTATTTTGTTGTAATGCTTAAGTGCATTATGTCTCAGATTAATCACCTAATCTTCTGGAAGGAAAAAGCAAACATGCAGCAATGCTTTAAGTTATAGCAGTGAAAGAATCACAGATTGTGGTTTGTCTTTTCTTCCTATTATGTTATTAAAAAAAAACTACGAACACTGAAAACCAAAAATAGTACATGCAGAGTTTTTAATTCAATTAAGAATTTTTGTCACTCTTCAGCCACACTTAGAGAGGATCTAAGTGCAGACTAGTCTTCCTCACCCAGTTGCTGCTGCATTTTTTAGTATTTATTTTGTATTTGTGTTACTTGTATATACTTTTCTTTTTTTAAACTTCATTTCCTAAAGAATCAAGGCAAGAAGTTACACTGCTTATCAAATCCCAAGAAAGCCATCTCTATCGTGATAACATCTCAGGAACTTAAGTCCAGGTAAAGGTGTTTTTTCAATATCTGGTGCTCAAATACTGTGGAAGAAATCACAAATCCCCGCCCCCACTTCCTTTAAAAAAAAAAAAAAAGAACATAATGCCTATTCAACTACTTGGACTTAATCTTCAATATTGTCAGAGTACATTACAAATACTAGAAAACAAGCAACGGTGTTTTTTTTTATCTGCTTTGATAGCTTTGGACTTTTCACACAAAAAAACAGAAAATAATTTGAATCTCGTTTGGTTAGTACCCTAAATTATAAAGGTGGAAGTTAATAACAGAAGCAGCATTAAAGAAGAACTTCACATTCAGGAAGCTAACTGGACATGTTCAGTAATGCTTCCTTGTGGCGACATCCTGCCAGCAACGTGCTGAAGCTATTTCTATATATTCTTTTCTTCCTGCTTTCTTTCAGCATTTCAACTCTTCTTAACAGCCAGAACTCAAAAAGCCACACACTATACTTGGCAAGAATCTTGAAATCCCAGTGTCCCAGATGCTTGACTCCCTTCACTGTTTCTCCATCAACTTAATTCTCTCCAACAAGAGCAAGCTTTGAAAGCTAACACCGCAGGGCAAGACTCCAAAAAACAAGATAAAAACCAAACATTAAAGCCACGAAAAAAACAAATGAATTTGAAGTGTTTTTCCTTCATTATATTTGCTACTTGCAAATATATGTTTTCAGCCAGCCTACCTGACTAGATAGTAAATGGCCTAGAATAAAACAGCTGCTTTACAATTATCAATGTATAATTTCCAATAAAGCAACTTCACCAAGACCTTGCTGCAGAAACAACATGTGCATGGTTCTCTGCCTGGCCCTTATATAAATTACACACATTAAAAAGACATACTCAGTAATTTCTGAAACAATAATATCAACAGAAAAACATAGCACTCCACTGCCTGAAAAGCAGTAGCTATGTTCTTCATCTCCACCCTTTAAAAGAAGCATAGTATCACACCTTTACAAACAATGGATTTTTAAAGGTTGTTTTTTTTTTTTTTTTCCCCATTTAACACTGTTCCTTTTCGGAATGAAACCCACTATTTTCTAAAACAACTAAGGACCTTGCACATCTATCTATAAAGCCATGGAGTTACACCTTACTTCTAAGGCTCAAGTGCAGATATTAACATGACTTTATGCAAATACTTAATCATCATATGAATTTCCCACAGCTACAAAGAACCCCCCAGTCCCATTATCACTGTACCTCAGTAATACACTATAAACGAAAAACAAAAATATTACTGATTGATGTGGTGTTCACAGACTGGAACACACAACAGTTACTGTACTCACAGACAGACTACACAACTACTTCTCCACTTCAGGTAGGTTAATCTTCCACTAAAGAATTCCTTGTTCTTAAACTGTTGTCTTTCTTTATCTTTATACAACTAACACTGTATACCTGCCTGATCATTTGTACATACAATCAGCATGAATTCAACCCCCTCCCCCCCCCAATCCCAAACAACTTCTCTAATATTGCTCACATCTAAAAAACGGTAGAAATAAACAATCAATTAAGAACAATCTCACCTGTAGAAAGTCAGTCCCAGGAATTAAAGTATTGCAGCACTCCAACCTAAAACTATGTTGTCCCAGAAAAGTGCTGTTTTGAAGAATTAACTTGAAATTTTCAGCTTCATCAGCACTGGTATTTCTTTTCTCCTGATCGAGCTTCCAGTAATTCTTCTGAGCCAATGAATTACTTCCAGAAGCCCAACATATTCACCTACTAAAATTAAAAGTAAAAACAATTAGGGAGGACACACAAACACACACCAAAACCAAAAAACAAACAAAAACAGCGAAAAACAAAATTGAGACAAACACATTACACACATTACATACTTCATATTAGCGAAGGGTTTGGACACACCATGCAATGCCAATGCAATGTCCTAGGATCTCAGTGTCCCCCTGCACATATTAAAAGATACATTTGTAAAAGGTCTGATAACTAAGACATGAAGAAAATTATAATTATTCACTAATACTTGTGGATAATTGAAACCTAAATAGATAGTAAACGACAAGCATACCTATTTGAGGCTCCTCTGATCTCTCAACTGTGAATGCCTCAGTTACTGATGACACTGCAGTAAAAGACATCAGCAGTCGACTGATGGCGTGGTTGCCTCCTTGAGCACAGCACTACTTCTAAATAGGTTTATGCATCACTTCGTATGTGTTATCACTCGAACAGTCAACAAAGAAACATTTTTCTTTTCTAAAATGTTAAAGCATACACGTGTCTGTACACTGCATGACTGAAAACCTCGTTATTTACTAAGGCAGCCAATATTTCACATGTATCAGCTATTTTCTTGTTCCATTCACAGATTTCAGGAAGACAAGTCACTGAACAAGAAGTTTGCTGCGTAAACTCTAAGAAACAACTCTTCCAAAAACTCTCCCAGATGCTTCCCTCACAGTGACTGGAGTGATCATCCCCTTTCAAGTAAGGAAACAAAGCATGAATTGAATGATGTGACCTTCTGATAAGCTAAATTAAAAGTGATAATAAAAGTCAATACAAAACATTTTCAAATGTAAAACATGCAAACAGAATCCCATGGTATCACTAACGTGTTATCTGTCTCCACTGATGAGCAATGAGGTGGCATCTCTCGCTCTTCTTTCACAGTGACAATTTTGAAGTCTCCATATTCAGAACAAGCAGCCGCTTTAGACAGCTGGTCACCATCATCATACCTGCAAATCCAACCCAAAATTCTAATTGAAATGTATTGTTCTGTAAAGATATTTTGTTTTGTCTAGACTACCATTAGATATTTAACAATACAAACAAACAAAAAAAAAATTGAACAGAAAAGCTTCTAGAAATGATAGCCAAATTATACACTTTAGCATACAGCTGATTTTATTTTCTCATTCCTTATATATTCCCCTCTCAGCTGCAACCTTTTGAGTGCTATCAAGAAAATTATTTCATTTGCCCCCTTCACATATAAAGAAAGTACACTACTAACGTTCCGTCAGCTGCTATTAAGCAAGCACTGTCTGACAGTGTTCTGTCTTCTTTCACAGTAATTCTTCTCACATCCCTGGGGAGGGAACAGATGGGAGCTTTTGTCAGTGGGTCATAGCTGTCATACCTAGAAATAAAACACAGCTGATGTGGATGCCAGGAATTTACATGGTACTATTAAACAGAAGAGTACATTGACAGTCTACTCACAAGTCCAATAAAAACCCAGCAACTTCTGCATCGTTTCTGAAATCCAGTTTTTCCTTCAGTGTCAGCCATCGGTCAATATGATTTCCAACATAAATCCTGGTTTTCCCTCTCCTCCTATCAAGACTTTGCTTTCTCTTTTTCTTTTCCAAAAAAGACAACACCGGGGGTCTTCCACACCTCTTTGTTGGCAGCGACATTGGAAGCCTAGTAATAAAGAACAGATCACTTAGGGAGAAAAGGTTATACCTTAACCCTGAGAGCCACGGCAGCAGAAGCTGCTCCCAAACATGGGACACGCTTCACTTCTATGAAATGAAGGCCCCAAAGCTCCGCGATCACCTCACGAGCTGCGGCGTCCGCCCCTCCCCAGGCTCCTCCCGCCCCCGCCCCGCGCCCGCAGCCCCCGCCGCTCTCAGAGCGATGCTTCCAGTCGTGCCGCAGCGCGGGGCCCGCCGCAGCCCGGCCTCCCGCCATCCCCGAGACGAACGACCGCCCCTCGCGGCCTCCCGAGCCGCCGGCCGGCCTACCACCCCTACCACCTATCCGCCTCCTACCTGCCCTCGCCGCGAGGTGCTTCCCCTCCTCCCAGGGAAGCCGCCCGCTCACAGCCCGCAGCGGCGCAACTCCCGCCAGAGGTAAACAAGGGACACGTGACCGGCGCTGCGCGCACTGATGACGTACGGCCTCGCTGCGATGAGGCGCGTAATGATGACGTCACGCTCCGCTGTGATGGCGCGCGGGAAGCGGCGCGCGCTGATGACGTCCCGCCCGCTGTGAGGGGCGCGTTGGGAAGCGTGCTTGAGTAGCGGTTCTAAGCCTTAAAAATCCTTTTTGAAATGTTAAAACGCGCGGCCAATTACGGATTCTTCTCCTCACAGCAGCATTTAAAGATGCTGAGGGTAGAAGCAGTATCCGTAAGGTACCAGCGCTGACAGGAATCAGTCCTGAGCTGAAAGGGACCCGAGAGGATCGAATCCAACACGGAGCCGCCCCAAAGCAGGAGGCGCTTCCCGTCCTACACACCTCCAGGGATCACTTCTAATTCGGCTGCAGTGACGGCGGGTTTCCATGACTGGTAACCAACCGCACGACAGCCCCGTCACACCGCATCAGCGTTACCACGGCTGAGCAGATGGTCCTGTGGAAAAATCAACACTCATTGACACAACACAGCTTTAAACGTTCATTGCATAAGTCCAGAGTGTCACAGTGCGCTTCTGCCGTGCAACGATTCCCAGCGTGAATTGCAGGACACCTCGTGAGCAGCCAGACTGAGGAACAAAGCCAGGACCGTCCGCTCGGCTGCCTGTTTGACTTTGGCACTGAAAGGGAAATGCTAAATAAATCCTATGAAGAGCAAAATGAAACCCATTCCATTTGAAAATTGATTTCGAGTTGGAACCCGTTTGGAACACCAGATTTGAAAGCCATGCTGTCACAATGTATGATATCAGACATCCTGTCGGTTTCTTAGTGCTGCCATGCACTTCTGCTTACACACACATTCTTAAATAAATGTCTAAGAAAACAAACCACTTTTATTAGAAATATTTATGGGTAATTCTACCTAAAGAATGAAAGGACAATCACACCTGCTGGTTTTATTTTTCTACTGTCAATTTTGATGGTTAACATAAGTTAAAGAAGTAAGCTCAAGAAGTAGGAGATGACTGAAGACACTGTAGCAACATTTATTTGACTGCTGAAACTGCTAAGAAACTCAAATAACATATTTTTGTTCTTCTTTTGTCCAATATTTAGATAACTTGAAAATTAAAAAAAAGTTAAACTTCTCATTATCTTTTATCATTTACAACAGAATCTCAGCAGGTTTATTTCAGCGTGCAAGTTAATTGCAAATTATAATCTGTAAAAGAAGTCTTGTAGCATAATTACAGGATCTCTTGCAAATAGCAAAACTTCTCCGTGATGAGTATATGTAAAGATAATCTCTTCTATTTTGCACTTTTCATTTAAAAAAAAGTTCAAAATTTCCTCCTCTATCACCATTATTTCTGTAAAATAGGTATTTGGTGATGATGTTCCTAAATGTGGCTATTTAAAAGGCTTTTTAATAATTATTTCTATCTCCTTCACAAATACAGTTATTGTCTTTATAAATGGATTCATATTCCAAGTAACAGAACTGTGTTAACTATTAACAGATGTTTAGGCTTTGAAGTTCCTGTTTATCTTGAAGTCATAAAGCTGCTTGGAGAAGCAACAGGGTATTAATGCCTTTTACTTCTCCCAGTAATTCTGAAACAAAATCAGCTATGTAGTGACTCACATTTCTTGCTAACTTGGTAGGTTAAGCAAGTTACTGCTCTTAAGTACACTTGTAAAGTTAACAGTAAAGCTGCTAACTTTAAAGTCTATGTTCTCAACCATGAATTAAACAGATAACATTTTCAAAGCTTTTATGAAGCAAACATATCTCACCATGTGTAGTATATCTGTTCCTCTCACTAAGGAGGTCTGCTAGCAGCATTAATTTCTCATGCTCCACTTGATTCTGGCCATGTGACAGACACAGAAAAGAAATGTTTTTAATCCTAGCAATATTTATATTAATGTCGATTTTACCACTTGGATGTCCGTGTCAGTAAGCTTTATGTTTTGCCCTGACCTCTCTCACACAAGTCCTTTAAGAAACATGCAATCTGAGTACAATGAAGTGTATGTTACAAAACAGCAGCAGCTGCCACTTAGGAATGAAATTTCAATATTCCAGACTCAGCAAAAGTTAAGGTTGATTTTCCTCTAAAGCAGTGCAGAGAAATCTAGGTGCAGTGTGCTGCCTCCTGCTGAACCACAACTGTAGCTGTGCAGGGAAAGATTTCAGAGTTTTATACAGTTTTTGGCACTCTATCCATTATATTACTTCGACATTATCACGTTCTCCCTCCCCTCTTGCTGTCAACTTCTTGCTGTAAGTTTCAGCTGTATTATCACCTTCCTGTGGATAAATATTTTGCTATGCTTCATTAGTTTCCCACAAAAGCATCTCACTGTTGAGTTCCAGCATGTTCAGCTTTCAAACACAAGCACAGAAGTATAGAGTAATGTACTTCACAAGCTTGTGAAGCCTACTGTCTTCTGAAGCATGTAATTTTCAGTACAAAAGGCACTATGTTGCTACAAGAGCGATCAGAAAATGCAGCAGTGTTTAAATACTCCACTTATTTCACATTTTAAATGCATTTGTAAGACAGGATTGTAGAAGTGCTCTCTGTAAATACTAATGCAGACTCCATGTAATACAACAAAAACCACACAGAAAACAAGTTTATCTATCTAAGCAGCCCGTTTCCAGAATGTGTAGGGATGCTTGATTCTTTGTGTGGTATATTCTCAGTTTCCAGTTATCAGTGACTATGAAAATAAGAGGCTGAATCCAAAACATCATACTGAACAGCCACAGAAAGACCCATGCTCTGAAAACTGCACCCCTTCATGATTTACTCCGAGAATAATACTGATACCCAATTAAAAAAAAAATAACAGAGTACAACAATGAGATTTGCTAACCCAAGCAACTCTCATCAGCTCACTCTCATCATCAGTAGCTTTAACACTTCTGTTTCTCTTCTAGCCCCTAGCAGAATTAACAGCACCTATTTGTTAGAGGAAAGATAGGAACACATTCAAAACCATGGGCATGATCACCACACAACTCATCCCAAAGTCTTTGTGCTTGTGTTAAATCCTTAACACCTTCAGAACAACCCAATTTATTAAGAATGGCAGAGGAAAGCAAAAAAAAAAGGAATTAAAAGAGAAAAAAAATAGCCCTAGTGATGATGCAGGCCTTCCATAAGCGTTTTGTTTCATGCCAGCTGGGTGTCTAACAATACCGAGAAGCACAAACTGCTTTCAGCTTCACATACTGCATCACAAAGCTCAGACTGAGTGGAAACAAAATTTCAATACCAAAGCCAACACAAATCCTCTTACAAGTGGAGGTTGAGTTTATGGCCCTGAGTACTTCTGGGCTACTTACCTGTGCTTCAGGGCTGCCGTTTTTTGCCCACATCTTCCCTGCTTCTCCTTTGAGGAGCCAGTACTGAAACCCATGCCTGTTGGGTACTATGGATAAAGAGGGCGAGCTAAAAGATGTGTGAGTGTTTCTACTACTTTCTGAGCACTTTGAGAAGAGAAACGACGACATATTCCACTCACAGAAGTCAGCTGAGCAATGCTTGCCTGGAAATCTCGCAATACCTGAGCTGAGGAGTTAACAACAGTCTCAGCTCAGCTCTTTCTGGGCCTCTTCTTCTTTTTAAGCACTCCAGCTAGATAAAGAATGAGTATTTACTGCACCAATACAATATTTACACATTTTTTATTACTGATGCGTCGCTGGTTGGATGGACAGAGCAAAACAGGGCAGGAGTGAAGCCTGCAGGTAGCTGTGTGGGAAACACACCGTTCTGGCAGACAGCTCAGCAGTGCTGTTTGTGCACACCGTGTGTTGAATTCACACCCTGAGGTAGATGGGAAGGGCCTCCAGGTATTCACAGAACATCTGAGAAGTGCAGTGGAGCAGTGTGAGCTGAGCCAGGGCTGAGCTCAGCGAGCAGGGAGTGCTGCGTGGCACGAGGAGCAGATGGCAGTGCCAGAGCCCAGAAACAGCGGGAGGGAGAAAGGACAGTGATAAAACCTGAGAGAATTGCACGCAGACAGGCGCTGCCCTGTGCTAATGCTGTCATCTGAGCCCCGAGGCAAGGCCCTAAAGGGCCAGGAACCCACAGCACTCCTCTTGTTGGGAGTTGTTTCTCTGCAGCAGAGGTTTTACAGGTGTTATTGCAATCCTCGTGCCTGTGCTGAAGGGAACTTCTGGACTAAGCTGTGTAACCCTGAGGCCTCGGGGTCTCAGCTTGAGGAGAACAACGCAGAGCAGAATGCAGGAGGTGCTCCAGACGGGGAGAACACCTTCACGCAGGGCTCGTTCCTCAGCCCTGTGCCTTCAGGGTCAGTGGGTGCCCTAAGCAGCCTGTGGGTGAGGCAGGGCGAGCTGCAGGGCTCTGAAGGGGCCGGAATGGTTCGGGTTGGAGGGAGCGCACACCCAGCCGGGTCCTGCCGTGGCGGGCTGCTTCTTAACAGCTCAGGCTGCCCAGGTCCCCATACTAATAGAGTCAGGGCATAAATAGGGGAAAAAAAAATATGGAACGCTTCACGAATTTGCGTGTCATCCTTGCGCAGGGGCCATGCTAATCTTCTCTGTATCGTTCCAATTTTAGTATATGTGCTGCCGAAGCGAGCACGAATAACTCTGCTTTCCGAACAGTATTTATAGCGCAGAGAACTCAGCTCTCAGAGGATAGGGTGAGCCCGCGGTAAGGCAAGCACAAAGCGTGTGCTGGGGGACACAGACAGCGCACAGCACTGGCAGAGGTGCGGGGCAGCGTACGGGGAGCGGACGTGAGGGGGCGAATCTCCCCTAGCGAGCACCGCGCTATGCAAATGTGCGCGCGGCACTGTGGGGCGGCGGGAGGGCCGGGCTGCCCGCTGCTGTGAGGCGGCACCGTCCGGCTTCGTTTGTTTAGTTTTGGTAGGGCTTTAAGGCCGGCAGCGCTCGGTTCTTCGGAGTCGGCGCTGTTTCTGCTGTTGGACATCGGGAGTTTGTGCTTCGTTATCCGCAGCGGTATCCCGCTGGTTTACGTCTCACGTCGTTTCGTCTGGTGTCTGCACAGCGCACGCAGCAGCTCAATTCGGGGGGAGCCGCGAAGTCGGAGGGGGGGCCGTGTTTAAGCAGCAACGGCTGAAGTCGAGGCGTTGGGACGGGAGCTGTTTTAAGCGCCGCCATGAAGGATTGAAAACGAGGAGCAGAGTGCCGCAGCGGAAGCGTGCTGGGCCCATAACCCAGAGGTCGATGGATCGAAACCATCCTCTGCTAGCCTTACTTTTCGCTCTGGGTCGGACAGCCGTTAGCACGAGCGGCACTCGTGCTGGGCTGCGTCGCCGGGCGCAGCCGGGCCGCTCTCTGTCGGTTCGGTGTGCGGTCGGTGTGCGGTCGGTCTGTAGCGCTGCCGCGGGACGCGCTCGGTGCGATGGGGACACGCAGCTCTGCGCTGGAGGCTGTTTTTATTCCAGCCCGGCGCAGTGCTTCAGTCCTGCAGTCACTGCACTGCGTGGTTTTCCGTCCCATCCGCTTCGTGGCACCCCCAGTCACCTTCTGTGGGTCAGTTCACACCAGTGCTTGTGATAACGGTACGTGCATCTTCTCAACCGAAGCAAGTTGACGAAAGATGCGTGAAAGCAAAACGGGCCTACAGGTACGAAGTGAAAGTCAGTGCCGTGGTGCTGCTTGTAATTTTCAGTATTTGTTCGGGCTGTGTTTGTACTGGCAGTGAAGTGACGGAGGGCTTAGTGGTTGTGTTTCATGTTAAGGCGCTTCTGAAATGGCATTGTTTTCACTGCGGTGATGGCTGCGATAAACGAACAGTGGGATTCGTCATGCGGGCTGCACGGGAGAACGAAGAGAAGAGCAAACCTATAATGAAGGTCATGGGGCGCTTTGCTGTCCGACTCCCTCAATAGGAGTGCTTGGGAGGGCTCTTCTAAGCGGTTCCATGGTGTAATGGTTAGCACTCTGGACTCTGAATCCAGCGATCCGAGTTCAAATCTCGGTGGAACCTAAGAGTTTTTGTGCGGGAGCCGATTTGGTGAATGGCCGCAGTGGTGGGGAATTCGGTGATTTGTTGGCTTTTGGAGCGCCGTGAATTACTGACCTGTGCTACCGAAAATCAGAGGTAAAGGGGAGTAGAAAAGCCAGAGCGCCTCGCATTTTTTTCGCCTATATTTTTGCGTTTACTTATTGCATGTAGGTCACCGCATCGCTACGTGCCTTATCTGTGTAATTTCAGACATGCTGCAGCGTGCTGAAATGTAACCGGTTCCTTTCTGCGCGGTGAGCAGCCCGTGTGAAAGCAGGAACTCGGTGCCAGCAGAGCACGAGGCCGCCTGCTGAGCTCCGCAGCCCCTCCTGCTGTTCGCTTCACGTCCTGCGCTTTGTTTCTCCCAGCAACCTCTGCCGCGTCCTGCAGTTAATAATTCAGCTGTCGTTATACGCGAGGACATCGAATGGAGCAGAAGGGCAGAAGGAAGGCGAGCGGTTGGGCTGCAATCAGCGCCGTGC